GATCACACGGTCGCCGAGAAGGACACACAGCTCCTGCGAGATCATGCCGCCCATGGACGTGCCCACCACGTGGACATGCTTCCAGTCCAGATGGTCCAGCAGCGCCAGAGTGTCGGCCGCCATCATTGCGATCCTGCTCCATGCAATCGTTGTCCGCTCAGCGTCGGTAAGTGGCGCAGGTCTCGGTGGCGCAGATCTGGCACTTACGAGTACGCTCCTGTGCGCACCGACGATCGTCCGATGTTGACATTGTCAAAGGTGCAGACGGAGAATTCAGGGAAGCTCGTAAAGTGCTCGACCTGGGAGGAAGGACGGCATGTGAGTGGTATGCGACGTTGGCGGCATCTGCTGGGCATGCACACACCTGCTTGTCCCAAACCCGACCAACCGAACCAAGACCTGGGAGGCGGCGCAATGCGGAAATACGTCAGCAGCCGATCTGGCGTTGGACGGCACTTTGGAGCGGCTGTTGCAGAGAGCCGCATGAGCACCTGCGCAGCGCAGCGAAAGACCGGCGCACCTGCAATGAACAGGATGCGCTGTGGGCCGCTCCCATGCACCTCATAGTGCATCTCGACTGGCTCGTTGTCGACGTTGGCGACCTCGACCAGCGGCATGTTGTTTTTGTGAAGGACGGCAAGCCGATCCAGTGTCCACATCAAACGCCACTCATCTCAGCCGTGTCGGCCCTTCATTGTGATCACAATCAGGCCATGGCTCGATCGGAGTGGAGCAGCAAGAGGTGCAGCAGAGGGGGAGGCCTATGGGGCAGGCATCAACTGCAGGATCTGTGTGAGTTGGGTTGTGATGCCAGTCAACTGTGTTTGGATGCGCTGGATGGCCTCGAGCCGCTCAATGATGGCTGCTCGCGAGTTGCCTTCCATCACACGGAGCTGCTCGTCGCTCAGATGATCCAGCACCAGAGGCTCGAGAGGAACCGATGCAGAGGCATGTTGGCGGCCATGAGCAAGCAGTGCCAGTTGCGCGTGTGCTTGTGCTTGCGCGTGTGCTTGAGCGTGTGCCTGTGCAAACGATGCAATGGTGGTGGCTGTTTGGGGCATCGAGTGTCAGTGCGCTGCAGTGGACAGATGCGTGTCGCCGGGCTGCAGACTTGCCTGACATGGCGAATCCTGGAGGTGCTGGGCCAAGTGGCGTGATGGTGACGCCGGCGTTGCCTGTAAAGAGCTGAGGAGGAAGCGCGGCCAAGTTGCTTGGTCCAGCGGCAGCCTCTGATGTCGTCGATCTGTCAGCAGTCTGCTGAGGCGGCTGCTGAGACACCACTGGCGTTGCTGCAGCTGGCTGTTGTGGTTGGATCGGAGCGGCACCTCCAGGCGCGACTGGGAAAGCAGCAGGAGCAGCGGGAGCAGGTGCGGCAGGTGCAGGAGCAGCGGCTTGCGGCTGGCCAGGGAAAGCAGCGGGAGCAGCACCAGCGGGAGCAGGCACAGGGCCAGGAGCCGGCGCTGCAGGGGGAGAGGCATCCATGACCGATCGGCGGCTGTTTGGGCATTACTGCGTGTCAGATTGGCGCATTCTTGCCACAAGATAATGCGGGCATGTCCAGGTTACCATGTAGGGCAAGACTGCTGGCGTTCAAGCCAGCTGCGCAGACATCTAAAGTGGAAGATGTGGCCACAGGGCAGCTTCTTGGGTGCATTCAAGTCTGCTTGTCCAGGCTGTGCAGCACCAGCACCAGCAGCAGGCGGGTTGGGCGGTCGGTTTGCGACGGCTGGTGCGGCGGCGGCAGCGGCAGCGGCAACAGCATCTTGCGGTGCTGTCATTTCTTCGCGACAGACGATGCAGACACGATCGGTGGCGTCCAGCTCCTGTGCGGTGGCAGTTGGATAGCGCTGCTGCATATTGGCTGTTGCGCGCCGGTACTGGATCAGGTCCCTGCAGCGCTGGATGAAGCTGCGCAGTGTCATGTACAGGTCGCGCACAATGTGCAGCGGAATGCCGTAGTAGTGGATGACAACGGCGAAAAAGGCAATGAAGCTGACCAGCTTGACAAAGTCTGTCGCACGCAGTTAGCAGCTGGATGGCCGTGCAATCCAGCCCATGCCATGCACCGACTGTGGCGCGATCTGCACGTACCGCTGACCAGGTCAATGTACAAAAAGTACATGGACTTTTCTTCCCACGGCGCAGCGGCGCGGAGATCGATTGTGTGCAGCACATACTTTGCATACGTTGAGATGGCCAGTGCAAGCAGCATGGCGTACTGGAGAGGCAGATCGTTGGGGTCAGCCAGAACACGGACGGGGGAGTTAGCCGAGCCAGAACGGGCAGCAACCAACCTCGAACGTGAATGCCACCATGATCGTGGGGCCAGATTCCAGAACGCTTGCGACGGCGTGGACCAAGAAGCCCAAGTCGATGATCATGAGGCCGATGAGGGCAAAGTTGATCTTGAAATGGAACGACAGCGTCAGGTTCGGCATCTGCTCCATCTGTGCGCCGATAGGACAAGGGGTGAGCGACAGGTGCACAAGGCTGCATTGCGCAGCATGGGGGAGCATTTGTGCAGCATAACAGAGCCAGCAACGTACAAAGTCGACTCTGTCGGCCGAGATCCAGTGGAAGATGCGGACGGCGAGCAGCAGGCCAAAGAGGCAGGCGAAGCGCAGATCGAACTCGTCTCTGAAGATGGTCATGGCCAGGCAGGTGTCCATGACCGAGAACCACGAGCGCTCATACAGGTGCTGCAGCAGAGCGAGCAGGCCGTTAGTGGCGTTGGCGAATGGCGGAGCACACACGGATGCATGCACGGATGCGAGGCAGCGCACCTCGACTTCGACGGCACGCAGCTCGCCAAACAGCAGCCGCTGCAGAGCACGGCCAATGACGATGGTCAGATAGAGCAGCATGCTCGACAGCACCTGCGAGGCCGACCGACCGACCGACGGACGGATGTTGCGTGTGGTGTTGGAGCAGGTCAGCGTTGTCAGAGAGGGACAGGCCAGGCCAGGGCAGGCGAGACGAGACGAGACCAGACTAGACGAGACGCACAATGATGCTGCCCACCGACTGAGTCAGGTGGATGCAGGTGGCAAAGAACAGGCCGCGGCGCACGGTGATGGCGTTGGCGATGGCGGCCAGCGACAGCAGCGTCGTGGTGAGGCCAAACAGCTCGAGGCGCCCAGGGCGGGCAAAGGTGAACGGCATTCTGCGCTGTCGCAGTAGTTGTTGTTGGTTGTTGTTCAAGTCGTGGTCGTAGTCGTAGTCGTAGTCGTTGTCGTAGTTGTAGTTGTTGAGGTTGTTGAGGTTGATGAGGTTGAGGTTCAACGCAAACACGATCCACGTTGTCCCGCCACCACAACCACCACAACCACCACAACCACCACAACCACCACAGACACAGACACAGACACAGACACAGACACAACCTCCAATGGGGCTCGTCTCGAAACTGCGCGCTGAGCAGGCTGCGACTGCCGGCCTGCCGCCGCCGCCGCCGCCGCCCCAGGGCCAGCCCGTCTACTACCAGCCCGGCATGCCGCCACAAGGCCCGCCTGGCCCGCCTGGCCCGCCTGGCCCGTTTGCCCCGTCCGCACCGCCTCCTCCAGGCATGTACGGCGGCCCGCCTCCCCAGGGCCATCCGCCACAGGGCCCTCCTCCAGGCATTTACGGCCCGCCCCCGGGCGCTCCCCCGGGCATGCCCGGCATACCACCGCAGGGCCCCCCGCCCATGCAGCAGCCCATGTACGGCCCGCCCCCAGGCGCTCCCCCAGGCATGATGCCTCTGCAACCGCAGTACGGCGTGCCTCCGGCCGGTGGCCAAGCAGCACCTGCTGCTTCTGCCGCCGTCAACCGCAGTGCGATCCAGGAGAAGATCCAGTCCATCGTCGCAGAGAACCGGCTGAGTGCCTGGTACGCCGATCCGGCCCGCATCAACCACGTCATGGGCCGGCTGTTCTCCATCGACTGGAGCGGGCTGGGCCGCTCCATGCGCATCAACTCGGATCTTGTGTACGACTTTTGCAGTCTGGCCCTATACGACATTGTCTTCTTTGTGGACGACTCTGGTCAGTTCATGGCGCACACACTATGCACCTGCATCCGCATCCGCATCCGCATTGCTGACCCTGCGATCATGGCTTTAACGCTTGCCAAAACCCTCGCAACAGGATCCATGGCGTTCGAGGAGGGCGGCGAGCGAATCACGGATCTCGAGTTCATCCTGTCCCGTACTGCCGAGATTGCTACCCAGTTTGACGACGACGGCATCTCTGTCGTCTTCATGAACAACAATCTCCGCGGCGACAACATCCGCACGGGCACTCAGGTCGCTGATCTCATCAAAAAAGTCAACTTCACGGGCATGACGCCGCTCGGCACCGAGTTCAACAACCGCGTCTTGCAGCGAAACGTTATTCCGGCAGCCATGTCTGGAAACCTCGGCAAGCCGGTGCTGGCCATCATCATCACCGACGGCGAGCCAACCAAGGAGCCGCGCGATGCCCTTGGCAGATCGATTGCTGCTGCCATGGACGCCCTGAGTCGCACACGCTACGGGTCTGGCGCTTTGGCCGTCCAGATTGGCCAAGTGGGCACGGACCAAAAGGCACAGCAGTTCCTGGCGTCCATGGACCAAGACCCCGTGTTTGGCCGTATGGTGGACGTGACGTCAAACTATGAGATGGAGTCGGAAGAGTTTGCCAGAAAGGGTGTGCCGCTCACTCCCGAGACATGGCTGCTTAAGCTGTGCGTCGGCGCCATTGACCGCTCCTATGACGATGCTGACTGATCGCACATAGCTTGGTTGGAAGGATGTCTTGGATTGGGCCTGGCTGAACCCAACAGAATAAACAGACAATGCACAGCACGCACAGCAACGCACAGCACCACAGCAACGCACAGCAACGCAGCACTTGGGACAACCTGGGCCGTTGAATGAACAAATCCAACAAACAGCGACAGACAACGACAAACAGCAGAATGCCTGGATGTTAGTGCATGCAATGTACTTAGTGTCACAGGGGCAAAATCGGGACATGAACGGATCTTCAGTAGTATAGTGGCTAGTATCTCCGCCTGTCACGCGGAAGACCGGGGTTCGATTCCCCGCTGAAGAGCACTTTCTTGGTGGGGCTTCCGTGGCGCAATGGCTAGCGCGTAACGCTGTTAACGTTAAGGTTGGTGGTTCGAGCCCACCCGGGAGCGTACATTTTTGCCCGTCGTGTCTGTGGCTTCCTATTTGCACCACCCACGAGTGGGCTCACTTTGTCGTCAGCTGCACCGGCCTCGCCATCCAACGCGACGACGCCAACCTCGCCCCATTCATTGCCCAGATCTCGGAAGCCATCGAACACAAACTCCCCGAATCCAACGATCCCGCCGCTCTCGCCGTTCTCGGCTACGACGACGATCTTCTGGCTACGTTTAGGACCATCCGAGTATCTACAAGAATCGACCAAGTGTACATAACGCTCCTCGGCGGAGGAGTTCTATCCGGTGTTGCGGACATTACAGAGTCTTGGCTCTGTGGTGACCAGCAACAAGTCAATGCACCTGGAGACGTGCGTCCACTCGCCTCGCGAATGTGCGCATTTCTTCAGGCTGCCCATGGTGTGTTCCAGCGTACTTTATGGATACATCACCATGGACGTGTCGGACCAGGGGGATGACATAACTGAGGGATCTACGCACGGCCTAAAGCTCGAAAGGGTATGGCATCTAGTGTCTTGGGGACTGGGAATCTTCTTGGAATGAACTTTGGCATCACCCAGGGACGTCTTGAAGAGCATGTCCATATGCAAGCACACTTGGCCAAACAACCAGATGCTTTGCCACGTGTGGTCCAGACCGCTTCCGACACGGCTCACAACATGCTTGGCGGCGCGCAGATCGCGACTTGCTCAATCATCCAAATCGGCACGCATGATCAAGCACCGGCTTCTCCAGGCCGAAACCGAGGCCACCAAGGTGCTGCTGGCCGACCAGGACGGCATGCATCTGGCTGCCGAAGCGTCTGTGCACGAGCCTGGGCAGGAGCCTGGACAGGAGCCTAGGCCGGCGGGAGGAAGCGGCGCCGCTCCAGGCACACGGCCGCGGTCGGCCTCGTCGGCAGCAGCCGGTGGCGGAGCAGGGCAGGCGGCGCACTCGTGGACGGGGTCGCAGGTGCTGGTGCGGGGCAGCCGCTTCACCGACGAGCACGGCCGCACGCTGCTGGTGCGCGGGGTCAACATGTCGGGCAACTCCAAGCTGCCTAGCACCCCGCCGGGCTCGTGCAGGCACCTGGTGCTCAACAAACCCACGGCAACGGCGTGCTCGACCTGCACGACCACGACGGCGGCCACAACGGCGACCACGACGGCTGCCGCTCCAGCAACAGCCACAGCCAACACTGCTGGTGCGGCTGGCGCAGACAGCATCGCCCACGCCGAGCAGCACAGTGGCCACACCGGCAGCTGCAACCGTGCCAATCTCGAGTCCTTCTTCGACCACCGCAACGTCTCGTTTGTTGGCAGGCCGTTTCCGCTCGCCGAAGCCGACGAGCATTTCGACCGGCTGCGTGCGTGGGGTCTGACCTTTACCCGCCTCTTGGTCCCGTGGGAAGCGCTTGGTAAGCAGCCACCACCTTGCCCACCTTGCCCACCTCGCTACATTGCCACCTTGCCCATCCTCCTGCTGTCGTCCGGCCACCGCTGGCGGCGCTGGCGAGTTACGTTAATGCTGACCCAAGCGACCGGCACGCGTTGCGGCACCAACGCCAACAGAACACGCTGGGCCTGGCAGCTATGACGAGCAGTACATCGACTACCTGATCGCCCTTGTCAAACGCATGCCAGAGTACGGCATCAAGTGCTTCATCGGTACGTTCACAGATGCGGATCGACAGTTGGCGCTGCATCGCTTGTTGCTTACTGCCTCGATACTTGCACGTGTCTTGCCCAGATCCCCACCAGGACACTTGGAGTCGCTTCTCGGGCGGTTCTGGCGCGCCTGGGTACGTCACGCTCATACATCTCCACGACGCGCCGTGCCTCTGTCCTCTGGCTCTTTGCTAATGTCTTTCATCTGTACCTCGGCGGTGTTCTTGCAGATGGACCTTTGAGGTTGCCGGGCTCGACGTCAAAAATCTCGAAACGACCGGTGCCACCCACCTGCACGACTTTAGCAGCAGCAGCACCGACGACGGAAAGATGATCTGGCCGACAAACTACATCAAGCTGGCATCGGCAACCATGTTCACGCTCTTCTTTGCTGGCGATGAGTTTGCGCCAAAGCTCAAGTACAACGGCGAGTCAGCCGAATCGTTCCTGCAAAGGCACTTTTGTAATGCTTATGCACACCTTGCAGCGTAAGGCTTTGCGCTGCAACCATGCTTGCACGGCATCGTGGCTAAGTCTGTTGCCCAATGACAGTCGTTTTAAGGCTGCAGGCGTTGAGGCTGTTGTCGGGTTTGAGGTTCTCAACGAGCCACACCCTGGATACATTGGCCTGCATTCCCTCGCTGGCTTTGATCTCTTGAAGGATCTCCACCTTGCCTGCACGCCTACGCCTCTCCAATCCCTGGCTCTTGGCAGCGGCTCTGCGCAGGCAAGCTGTTTTCTTGGCCCGCTAGCAATTCCAGATCTGACCATTAAGTCTTCCTCCCATGGTAACCTCACAGGTTGTTGATTATTGGGTCAAGAGCTGGCCGTGGCCGACGCGCAAGGCTGGAAAACGTCTTCTCAACAGTGACCGCAAGTCTGCATGGCTTCCGGATCGATCGTGCATCTGGTAAACAATATGGCGCTGGTTGAATCTGTCCCTCGTCCGCTTTCACATCCTGTCCCAGTGCAGCCAGCTGACATTTAGCCGCGCGACGCTTTCTTTCAGGCGCGACCACGGCGTCTGGGACTTTGATACGCGCGGCAACCCCGTCGCACTAAAGTCGGATTACTTCCGCACCAAGAGAGACGGGACGCCCATCGATTTCAACAGAGACTGCTATCTGCCGTTTGTCCGCCGCTACGCAGAGGCTATCGAGAGCGCCAACCCAAGCATGCTGCACTTTTTCGAGCCTGTACCAAACGACGACCCGCCGAACATGGCCAACGAGCCTGGCACGTGGCTCAACAACGTCGTCTTTGCTCCTCACTGGTATGATCTCAAGTCGGTGTTTAGCAAGTCCTTTAATGGTTTCGTGACACACGACGTGCAAGGCTTGAGCCGTGGCACCAAAAACGTTTTGCAAGCAAGCTACTTTGGCATCACTGGCGCAAAACGCAACTACCGCCACCAGATCTCCAACATTGTCAGCGCCGGCCTCAAGCTCGTCGGCGACAAGCCTTGCCTGATCGGCGAGTGTGGCATTCCCATGGATATTAACGAGAAGGAAGCCTACAATTCTGGTGACTACAAACACCACACCAATTTCTTGGACGCTGTCATCACTGCGATGGAGGTGAGAAGATTTTCAGCAACCATCTTTTGCCATGCGGCTGTGTTCGAAGCTCTTGCTAATCTTGGACACCACGCACCAGTCGAATCTGGTCAACTTTACGCTGTGGAACTACAACCCGCACAACGACAACATGTACGGCGATCACTGGAACGGCGAGGACTTTTCCATCTTCTCGCGAAGCACATCGAGGGTCGCGTCGCGCCAAGAGTCTAGACAGCACTCGAGGCAGCACTCGAGGCAGCACTCGCGCCAATTGTCGCGCCAGCAGTCTGCAGCCGAAGTTCCTGACGCAACGCTTGCAGCACAGCTTAGTCAGCATGGCTTGCAGGGCAGCAGTAGCAACGACTCGGTCGACCAGGCTGGCAATCTGGCTGGATCCAGCTCAGGCGGCCCTGGCGTGTCAAGACAGACATCTCCTCTGCGCTTTGAGACGTCGCTTAAAGCCCTCATGGAATCGTCCAACTCGTCGTCGCAAGCGTCAGTGCCAGTTGCCAACGGCGACGGCGCACCATCAAGCCTGCTGCCCCTCGGCGCGACTCTTTTGCACAAATCGTCTGCCGGCTTGATCCACCGCAAGTCGCCCGCCAACACCGCTGCATCCGCCGTCTTGCCGCCACCAGTACAGTCTGGTAATGCCGACTGGAAGGACCACCGATCTCTGACGGCGCTGCACACTCCGATGACGCCCTTTGAGATCAACGAGCTCACCTTTGAAGATCAGGATGCCGAAGGCGAAGCCCATGCTGGCGGACGCGCGCTCGACGCCGTCATTAGGCCCTATGCTGCCAAGGTTGCTGGCGAGCCCCTTCGCATGTCGTTTGACCTCAAGAGCCTCGAGTTTGAGCTTTACTTTTCCACGCCCATCGACATCAGCAAGCGCAGCACCTCTGCGCAGGCCAACATCACCGAGATCTTTGTGCCGTCGTTCCACTATAGCGTGTTTGACCAACTCAACGTGACGGTCTCGGATGGTGAATGGTCGTACAACCCTCGGCAGCAGACTCTCTTGTGGAAAATCGATCCAACGGAGCGTGTTGAGCCGTGGGCTGACGAGGCGCCATTATCCTTCTTGGCATACTTCTGTCCTGACCCGAATGCCCTTAATTTGCACGACGGCGGCAAGAGTGTGAATGTGCACTCGATTCGGATCAGCCTTGCGACCCCTTTCAATGGCGACCAATGAACACATGTGCATAATCCCGGCACCAAACTCCTCTTATCATGCAGCTCGCCAAAGCGTCTGCCAAACGCGTTGTTTGGCCCTTGTTTGGCTCTTGTTTGGCTCTTGCCATGCCTCCTCCACGACCCGGCCGCATCCACCCTAATCGAGCCGCTCATGTTCAGGCTGTTGTTGACAGATCCATTGTTCAACACATGCCGCAAATGCCCTCAAAACATGGAGCGCTGCCGTGAGCATTTCCCTCGTCGACACAAACAGATCTATAACCAAGCACGACACACTTTCGCCATCTCCAAACACCCTTCATGTCTGCATCTGCCGAACAGCCGTCCCAGCTTTCTGTTGGTACTCCCCAGCGATACATTGTGATGCAGCATTCGCGGCCCGTCCCACCAGCCAAGGCGGCCGGCATGGCTTCCGGCATGGCATCCGGCATGGCATCGGTGCTCCAACCATCGCACTCGCATGTGGACGTGCAGGATGTGCACATGCAACAAAGCTTCATTGCACGCCAACAGCAAATGCACCAAACACAACAGCGAATGATGGCCGAGCAGTACTATGCCACGCAATGCTCCCCGGCCGCTTCGT